TGAACAGATCCCAGAAAGATATCAACAGCATGGTTTCTGAGTGGGTGGAATTATGGGTGTTCTCTATGAATTACTTTTCGTTTGGCTGTATCTTCTTTTTTTCTCCTGTTTTGAGCATCTTACTTATGAGTAGGAAAAACTAACCAATAGGAAGTGGACTGCGTCTAAACACTATTTTAAAACTCTATACCATTGTAGCTAGCTTTATATAACTGGTAATGCTTTTGAGAAACATGCAAGTTGAAAAACAGAAGGAATGTTTCCAATTACTAGTTAACAAGGAAGTTGAGGCTCAAAGTAGTAAAGTGATTTGTGTCACAGGGTACACAGCCAGGCAGGAGCAGAACTCAGGCCCTGACTTGCAGACTGGTGTTCTTTCCTTCTATCATTCCCTTCTCTTCCCACCATTAACCCCTTACTGCTTTCTCTAACTCAGCAGTGCAGGGGTTATCACAGGCATTCATTGCCTCACAGATTGTATACTCCATTCTGCTGCTGTTTTGTGTGCATTCTAGAGTGGAGAGCCACTAGACCAGGCAGGCAGCCTCCACATATGCCCTTGCTTACTGGAAAACCATAGCACAGATCCAGCGCAGAAGTCCTGTTCCTGAGACCAGGGCAGGAGCTGTATGGCCACTTGAGAATGTGCTACTGGGTGATCTGCAAAAGCTGCAGGCAAGCCCATACCACTTTGGCCACATGGGACATTTTCTTGGGAGTATCCAGTTATTACTGGTAAGTCCTCCATGGACACTTCCTCCAGGCTGGCTCCGGCTTGCTTTGAGCTAAAGGAAAGGAGGGGGCACTTCTCCAGGAGTCCTTGCCGTGTTGGGCAGGGCTCAGGACCGGGCTCCACCTTTTTTCATTTGAGAGGACATATTGGAGGGAGTTCAAACATATTCATGCTGCACCTGAGCCTATGCCAGCAGCTCTGAGCTCTGCAGAAGCGCCAGGAGCTTGGCTCAGCTGTGCCAGCCTGGGGAATTCACAGGGTAAATAGACCACATGTTTCACAGAGAGAAATGACAATGAGGACTTCTTTCCGGTGTTTGGGAGATGAGTCCAAAGGTGGGTGTTGTGGGCCAGTGCAAGAAATTTTTTTTTGGAGCTGTGATCTGTGGTCAGGATTATCTCTGGGCTGTGATAATGATTCTTGGAGGTGGTTCCTGGGGACGGGTGTCCATGGGGAGAAAGTGCTTTGTAGGGGCAATAGAGCAATTCTGAAGGCCAGAGGATGGAGACTTAAACCCAAAGTATTGATGACTTCTTAAGGCCTATATTGAGGATTATTTTCTATACCTTATCAGGGAAAAACCAACAGGCATGTACATAATTAAATCTTAAGAACAGAATGCATAGGGATAATCAAAGACATAGATTTTTAAAAAATTTAATGGTTTTTCAAAAACAAAACAAAAATAATACATGTTCATTATAACAAATGTAAATAATATATAAAGTAATAAGTAAAAGTAAGTCTATTCTCCAGAAGAGATACAAAGTAAAATAAGGTATCATTTTTCAAATGACCAGATTGGTAAGTTTAAAAAGAATGGAATGGGTTATAGGCAGGGTTTGCCAACTCCAGCATTACTAACACAATTCTTTGTTGTGGGAACTGTCTTGTTTATTTTAAGATATTTAGTGACAAATATATCTGTTTCCTCATTTGGAAGATAACTGTACTAATAATCTCTTAGGATTGTTGTGAGGATTAGAATGACACACAGTAAGAGCTATAAAAGTACTATCTTTTATTATTATTTTCCATTTTAATGTTGTTCTGCCCGGCCAGTGTGGTTCAATGGTTGAGCATGAACCAGGAGGTCATGGTTTGATTCTGGGTCAGGGCATATGACGGGGTTTTGATTAGATTCCCAGTAGGGAGCAAGCAGGAAGCAGCTGATTAATGATTCTCCCTCATCATTGATTTCTCTCACCATGGATGTTATTATCTCTCTTTCCCTCTCCCTTCCTCTCTAAAATCAATGAAAAATTATATTTGTATAAATTTATATATAAAAATTATCTATGTTGTTTTCATCTGCTCCCTGTCAGCTAAGTTCAGTAGTTACATGAGAAATAGGCAACAATACCCATTCAGTTGCTCAAACTAAAAAGCAAATTATCAGCCCACTTTCTCCTGCTGCTCCTTCTGTACACAATCTCTCACCAAAGCCTGAGCTACAAGCTTTAATCTGTTAACTTGTTCTCCATTCCTACCGTCACCTGCTCTAGGGAGCACTGCCATCTCAGGCCTGGGTCACTGTGCCATCCGGGTGGAAACCAGTGTAATCTTTCTAAAATAACATGGTCCTTTCTCTTCTCGTCCACAGCCTCCATGGTTATCAGAATAAATCCCTTGGCATGGTCTTTAAGACCCTTCCTAACCTGATTCCTACTTTCATTTGCACTTCAAATTCCTTGTGTCCAAAACTAAACTCTCTGCCCAAACCTGCTGACTCCCTGGATTTCCCTCTTTAATGAATGGTGCCACCTGCTGATCCCCCAAGGGAACCCTGCCTTCCAAATGCTCCCCGAGTAATAAACCACATTCTCAAAAAAGATCCAACTTCATGACGGAGATATGCTTACATGCACTTTAAAATATCGGGTCTAGTAATAATTAATGTCGTTTTCAAACATTCGTTTAAAATCTTGCTTGGCGTTGACTTGTATTGACAGAACCTTCAAACACGTGGTATCTACAGAACGTGTGAAGTGCAATTAACAAGTTTTGCTTGAAAAAGTTTGTGTTTGGTTTGGTTTTTGTTGCAAAACTAGGGCTAAGAAGATGGCGGATGAAGAGCATATTCGGCACTGCATGCTTTACGAGTTCCAATTAGGAAGAAAAGCAAGTGAGGCTGCAAAAAACATCTGTAGTGCTCTTGGTCAAGATGCAGTTAGCGCCAGAAAATGCCAGCGTTGGTTTGAGAAATTTCGCGAGGGAAATTTTTCGTTAGATGACAAGAGTGGTCGAGGCCGTGTGTCCAACTTTGATCAAGAAGCTCTTCAAGCTCTTTTGATGCAAAATCCTCAAATTACCCAACAAGAGCTTGCGACAACTTTAAATTGTTCACAAAAAACAATTTCCAATCAATTGCGTGCACTTGTCAAAGTCCAAAAGTTTGGAAAATGGGCTCCTCATGAGTTGACCGACAACAACCGTAATCAAAGAGTCACAATTTGCAGTTCGCTCCTCTCTCGTCAAAACCGTTTGCCGTTTTTAGAGCAAATTGTTACCGGAGATGAAGAATGGGTGCTGTATGTTAATTTGAAAAGGCGGCCTCAATGGTTGGACAAAAATGAGGCTCCGCAGCCCACGCCAAAACCTGACTTGCATGCGAAAAAAGTGATGTTGTGTGTTTGGTGGAATTTTAAAGGAATTCTTCATTATGAACTTTTACCATCTACCCAAACCATTACAAGTGCAGTGTATAGTGCCCAATTGGAAAGGTTAGCCCAAGCTTTAAGAGGAAAAAGAACCCGTGCTGATTAATCGGAAGGGCATAATTCTTCACCACGATAACGCACGACCGCATACTGCAAGAATCACTGCTGAAAAACTGCGCCAGTTGGAATGGGAAGTTCTCCCTCAACCTGCATATTCTCCTGATATTGCCCCTTCCGATTACCATTTGTTTCATTCTTTGCAAAACTTTCTTCTTGGAAAAAAATTTAATAATGAAGAATGCCTCAAAAATGCATTGACCGAATTTTTTGCATCAAAATCACAAGAATTTTACAACAGAGGGATTAAAATGCTTCCTGAGCGTTGGGCAAAAGTAGTAGAAAACAACGGCAACTATATTGTTGATTAAATTTTGTTGTATTGTTTAAATAAATTAGATTTAAAAAAAGTATTAGAAAACGACATTAATTATTACTAGACCTAATACAATAGCCTATAGATTCCACTCCCAAACGTGGGCCAGGCATTCCAAGGTCTGGCTATACTTAAGTTGGATGTGCTAAACTATTTTAGCAGCCTGTCTAGTTAGGTGACTACATCTAAGTATTGGGGAATGGAGGTAGGAGGGTCCAGTTTGGGTTCATTGAGCCGAAACCAACTAACTCTACCCAATTCTATTGAGGAAAGCCAATCTTTCCTACAAAGCTCAGAGAAGTGGAGACGTGGAGCTGGGGCATGAAGAGCAAGGAGAGACACAACTAGATCAGCAGAATCAGTCCCAGGGATGGAGGGGCTTCCAGCTGTTGCCCAGCTCACCCCTCCCGCGCCTGCCATCGGAGCAACCATCAGAATCATAAAAATGAAAAAAAAAAAAATCCCTAAAAATCACCTACTTAGGTGGGCTGCCTAAATTTTTTCTAAACATTTAGTGCATTTCTCTTCGAAAGGGTCTATTATTTCTCACCAGGTTCTTAAAGGATTCCATGCCTGAGAAAAACGAAATTAGCTAAGATTCTTCACTTAACAGATGGAGAAACCGAGGCAGAGAACGATAAAAGCAGTTGCTCAAGTCCAACAACAGAAGCACTAAAGCGAAGGCCTTTTCAATGTCAATTCCGGTCTCAACTCCTGGCCTTGGCCCTGAAAGACCCCCCCGGAGGCGAAGGCTGGGGTCCGAGCCCTGTGGAGGTGTTGTTGCAGGCGGTCCAGATTGTAACACTGAGGAAACGGGCTAAGCGCTCAGAGGGGCTCCGCAGCCGTGAAGACTCCCACCCTGGCCTCATCCCCAAGGAATTCCGCTGCCTTGGAGTACAGCGAGCCCCGCGAAGTGGAGGCAGCTCCGCGACGGTGAGGAACAGCGCCTACTCACGCGCCCAAAGAAGGAGGAAGTAGACGCGCCACACACGCCGGTCGGAGCGAACCCGCGGCGCACGGAGGAGGGAGCAAAGAGAATAACAGGAAGTGACGCAAGCGCACGTGCTTCCGAGAGGGCGGCGGCGAGGCGCGGCCGACGCTCCGCGCCTGCGCAGTCACCGCCTGCCGCGCTGCCGAGTCACGGAGGCGGGAGGAGCATAAACAGAGGGCGCGGCGCGTGCCGAGTGACGCAGGCGCAGTGCGACTCCGAGGCGCGGGCCGCCCCCTCCGCGGGTTTGGATCCGGGTCAGTCAGGCTCCGCGATCCGGGACGGACAACCCGAACCGGCCGGACTGGGTAACCGGAGTGCGAAAAGGTGAGCGTCCTGGCTGGGAGGGGTCGCGGCTCCGCCCCCCGTCCCCCCCATGGCTCAACCTGGCCGCGGGCGGTTTTTTGGGGCCGGTCCGCCTCCTGTCGCGTCGCGCCCGGGCGCTGACTGCGGGGCCCGGCCGGGCCGGGCTTGGGCCTCTTCGTCACCTCCTCGGCTGTTGCGGCCTGACCCTGCCGAGCTCCACTCTCTGGCTCCTTCCCGCCTTCCTGTCCTCTTGTTGTCCCTGCTACGTCTTGCTTCTCCGTCTTCTCCCACTGGGCCATAGCTTCCCCTTTTCACCCTCCCCGGCCGCCCTTTGCCCCCTTCCCGCCCTTTCCCGCTCGTTTCAAAGCCCCGGTCTCGTTGGCTGCCTCGTTGCCTTCTCCTGATCCCTGGCGCCTTTGCCCAACTGAAATCTCTCATTCTGGACTGCGGAGGCTCCAGGAGGGGCAGCCTCCCAGCCGGAGACCCCAGGCGGCCGGACCTGGGGGTTCCGGGACAACCCCCCCCTCTCCGAGCCCCACTGGGCTCTGACCTTTCTTCCCGATCCTTCCCAACGGCGACCACTCCAGGTTGTGGGTGAAAAGAAGAGCATTGTGCTTTGGCTCTAGCTAGAAGAGTGTGTTTAGTGGGTGTGTAGAGAGAGGTGTGAATGTGTTTCATCTCGGGGGGCCGATTGTTTCAACCTAGTCTCTGCGACTTAAGAGACTCGCTGGACGGGGCTTTCTTTCCCCGACTCCCCGCTTCCGGGGTAGGGGGCCGCTGGGAAAGTTCCTAAATCTTTAACATTGTGATGACGCGCTTACGCGGGGATCGTTTATTCTTTCTCCAGGTCTCTCCTAGGCTCGAGGTTGAAAGAGGTTTTGGGTAGAACGGCAAGATATAAATGAGATTGTGACACATGCTATTCGTGGAAAGAGAAAACCAGAAATGTTGATGGAGGAACCTAGAAGGATTTTGCTTGTCGTTTTTGAAAGGTTGGGGAAAATCGGAGGCAAAAATTGCCCTGTGTGATTTGACTTAGAACAATACAAAGTAACTTCTAATAGGCCTTTAAAAGTTTTATCTTTGGGGAGATTGTTCAAGTTCAAGAAATCAGCGCCGTGAAAACGGCGAGAAAGTCTCCCACAAGTTTAATGTGAATGAAGAGGGGGCAGACCCATTGTGTTTTCCGAAGTTTGTCCTGGAGCTCCTGATTTGAGCGAATAGGAAGGTAGGAATACTTAGAGTACGAAGCCTTTTGAAAATTACAAACTGGCTCTGATTTAGCTCTTAGGATCGTGCTGAACACTTAAGCTTGCTTAGGGTTAGTAATATAACTGAGAGAAAAGGTGAGTAATAAAAAAATGCTGAAGTCTGAAAATAATTGAGATGGAACTTGGTCCCTAAACTTTTAGTCTGTAGCCAGTTTTTGTTTTGGTCTGCTTTGGTTTTTAACTTTTAGTATGTCAACAAGAATGTTAACTAAGTTTGTTAAGGTCCGGATTTTAGAGGTCACCTGCAGTGCTATTAAATTATCGCTGTATAATTGAAAGTTACATATTTGGGTATAGAGCTTCTTTTTCTTAAAAAATATATTTTATTGATTTTTTTACAGAGAAGAAGGGAGAGGGATAGAGAGCTAGAAACATCGACCAGCTGCCTCCTGCACAACTCCTACCGGGGATGTGCCCACAACCAATGTACTTGCCCTTGACTGGAATCGAACCTGGCATCTTTCAGTCCACAGACCAACACGCTATCCTCTGAGCCAAACTGATTTCGGCTGTATAAAGCTTCTTAACAGTTTTAGGGCTGCAACGAGATTGCAGCCCTTCAGCACGGGGCTTCACAGCCCCTTCTATTGTATGTCCAGTCCCGCCCATACATCCTTAGCATCCAGCCTAGTGCTGACGACCATGGTAAGAATTCTGTATTTGTGTAAGGAGAATTTCTGCCTATAGAACTCAGCAGTGTATATTTAGATGTGATGTACTGATTTCCAGAGAGGCAGAAGAGGGTTAGTGTGGGGTCTGCAGGATTGGGGGAGACTCAGCTTAGATGATTTACCTTTATAAAGGCCACTAGTCTGAGTGAGCATTTGACTGACTGGTTATAAAGTAATTGAGGAAAACTATAAGTCAAATTTTATTTTAGTTCTGCCCGCAGGATGAATTTGTTTACAACCTACGATAGCACTCTGTCGAAGATGCTATGGGCTTTAAAATTATTAGAATGTGATCTTTGTTCACCCCTCTCCCTAGGTATGTAGGACATTATTGTGCGTGTTTGGGGGGGAGAGAGGGCAGGATCCTCCTCTACATCTCGAAGATTACAAACCAGTGAAGTATAGAATTGATAATGTCATACACTGATTAAATAAGCCAGCAAAATGTATGTGGGATGTGATTTTTAAGTTTTTTTGTCTTTAAGACGTTGAGGTGAAAGCTAACTGAGTTCTTTTGAGAATATTTTCAGTGTTCAATGTTTCATTCCAGGGAGAAAGCTGACTAAAATCTTCCTCTATACGTAAATAAATAAAGGAAACAAGTAGTCTTGATTCCTTGCTTCATTGGTACTACATAGTCATATCTAACATATTACAACACACTCTGACCTTTGGAATATTAGAGGTCTCACAATGCATCAAGCCCACCCCTGAGAAATGAGCGGAGAAAGAATCAGAGGATCCAGGGCTCTACAGAGAGGCACTGCTCTCTGGGAATCCCTGAAGGGGGTGGGGGGGAGGGTAAGGGGTAGCAAGCAGGTTAAATAAAGAAAGAAGAGGTAGAGTGACTCCTTTGCTTCAAAAATTCCCCATCTTTTGTTTTTGTTTTTAATGTTTTTCAGATTCTCTGTGATAGTATAGATACTAGTTGAAAACAATAAGTAGTATATTGTACCAAGTGAAAGAATAATTGGGAAACTATATTTAAAGCATTTATTAACATACTGCTGTTATGTTTCTTGTTGCTTTGGTTGGTCCCCCGTTCCCTTTTCTTTGTTTTAAATGTAATAATTAAGGTGGGGCGGGGGCGGGGGGGGATCTTGGTTATTTATTTTTTAGCTTTTAAAAAAATTGAACATCACTTAAATGTTCATCTATAGAACAGTAATTTCTCTTTTGTCTTTATTTCCTACCTCATTTATTGGAGGGGGGAGCTAAGTTTGTTCTTTATATTTTTTTGAATTGTAAGTATAATTCATTTAGTTTTTATCTTTTATACTAAAATATTCAAAGCTATTAAAAAAACAACAACAAGGCATCAACCTTATAGGTTGACTGTGGAATAACCAGAAATCATTAAACATGTTTGTAATTCTTTTGATATTCATATCCAGTTTGATATGTGGATATGAATATTGATATGAATAATGATATTCAGGTCAGGATTGCTTTAGAGAAATGCTGCCATGTATCATGAAGTTATACATAACTAGAATTTTTAGGGTTAGATTAGATAAATAGCATTTTAAAGAATCAAAATTTGTTGATTCTTTAAAATAAATCTTTGCTATTTGTTGAGCTTTTCCCTTTTATTTCTGATGCTAAAGTCATTTTGTCTATAGGTTTTTAGACCTCTACAAATGGAGAGATTTCCCCCCATTTAAAAAAAGTGTATTTAAACAGATTTTAGGTGATATTGTTTCCAAAACTGTAATAGGATATTGACATCAAGTATTTGGGCATTTTAAATTCTATCTTAATGCAAGAAATCATCTATACTGAAACTTTTTAGAAATAGAAATTTACTATTCCCCTCTTCTCTAACAAACAGTAATAGTAACAGGAATAAAGATTTTAACAAAATATATACTTTTGAACCCACCTGTTGCCACTGTACTCATTTTATTTTGATTTTCTCTTTTAGTATTAGTGGGAACAACATAGTGTAAAAAGTTTCACAATGAAATCCGAAGCCAAGGATGGAGAGGAGGAGAGTCTTCAAACTGCTTTCAAGAAATTAAGAGTGGATGCATCAGGGTAATTAAATATATAATATGTTATTTGGGATTTATTCACTAAACTTAAATAGCCTTTTTCTCTACTAAAATTTCTCATTTGTGGAAGATATAAATGTTAATAATGTGATACTCTACCAAATCTGCACATCATTGTATTTCTTGTAAAAGAAACTCTTCTGTTAAATTTTGAAAAGTTGTAGTTAATTTGTACTCCAAGGTTCAGTGGTTTGATTGTCCTTCCTTAGCTTTTGAAGAGGGCTTTCTCCTCTCTCTCTCTCTCTTTTTTAAATTTAAAATATATTTTATTGATTTTTTTACAGAGAGGAAGGGAGAGAGAGAGAGAGCCAGAAACGTCGATGAGAGAGAAACATCGACCAGCTGCCTCCTGCACACTCCCCACCGGGGATGTGCTCGCAACCAAAGTACATGTCCCTGACCGGAATCGAACCCGGGACCTCTCAGTCCGCAGACCGACGCTCTACCACTGAGCCAAACCGGTTTCGGCTCTCCTTCTCTTTTTAACCAAACCTTATCAAGTGGTGTCCCATTAAGGATTTTCTCATATATCTCTAGGGAATCACAGTATTTTTCACTAAAAGTGAATTACCTCAATAGAAATCTCTGCAGATGTTGTCAATTTCATGGGTTCTATTGCTGAGACTATCACTATGGAAACCTATTCATTAGGGTTCTGTCACAGAGATCAATAATCTTGGACCCTTTGGCCAAACTAATTAGAGCACCTACAGACCAGCTGCTGTCTGAATGTTAAAATTTCACCCTTTGCATAATGTTCTGTGCAGTATTCTTCTCATCCCCATTCTTTGCTCCAGGCCAAAAGAAATCTCAGATTTTTAATAGATATAAGAACATTTCTTTTCATGAAAAGAAACCAAACACTGGAAACAGAGTAGAAAACTCCACAACAACTAATAATAATAATCACTAAATATTTTACTCACTATGTCCTGGTTACTAACCTAAGTACTTTATATACATTATATAGTCCTCACTACCAACTTAGAAGATAGTTATTACTGTTATTCTAGTTTATAGACAAGATGAATTAAGCTACTTGTTAAAGATCACATCTGTAAGAAACCCAGACAGTTTGTCTCCAAAACCTGTGCTCTTACATCATTCCTTGCAGACAACTTGAAGAAATGCATGAAGCTTAATTTTATGTTCCAACAATAGTAGAAATTAAAATAGATGTTGTTATAGCTGTCTGCTTATTGCTAACACTATTTTGGCCTACGAAATGAGATTTATACTAATAGACTAATTTATGCTAAATATGCTAATTGTGTAATAGCTGTTACAGGTGCACACATTTGCTTCCATGATACTTTATTTTTTTAATTTTTTAAAATATATTTTATTGATTTTTTACAGAGAGGAAGGGAGAGGGATAGAGAGCCAGTTACATCGATGAGAAAGAAACATCGACCAGCCGCCTCCTGCACACCCCCCACTGAGGATGTGCCCGCAACCAATGTACATGCCCCTGACCAGAATTGAACCTGGGACCTTTCAGTTTGCAGACCAACGCTCCATCCACTGAGCCAAACCAGTTTCGGCCCATGATACTTTAAATAAGTATCCCTTTCCAGTGTTTTGTTTTTGTTTTTTTTTCAATATTGTGGTCATTTTGCCATGAAAGTTGATTGGCACTTCATAAGCCTTCTTGGGAAATGGAAACAGAGCAGAGAAACAGTTCCAGATTGTGGTCAGTGTATGCTTTCATGATTTTGGGTACAGAAAAAAAAAAAATGTTTAAACAGGAAAATACTAGGAATGCTGCATATATACATGTGCACATATAAATTTCTTAATATATATATTTTCTAAATAACTCTTGATATACAGATTTTTTTCCTGGTATTTTAAGAAGTTGGGTTCTAGCTGATTTGGCTCAGTTGATAGAGCGTTGGCCTACAGATCGAAGGGTCCCAGGTTCAATTCTGGTTAAGGACACATGCCCAGGTTGCGGGCTCCATCCCCAGTAGGGGATGTGCAGGAGGCAGCTAACCAGTCATTCTCTCTTATCATTGATGTTTCTCTCTCTTTCCTCCCTTCCTCTCTGAAATCAATAAAAATATATTTAAAAAATGTTGGAATATAAAATTAAGCTGTTTCAGTACTCTTAAAAATTACTTGAACATTAAAAAGCCTTTCAAGCCGAAACCGGTTTGGCTCAGTGGATAGAGCATCGGCCTGCAGACTGAAAAGTCCCCGGTTCAATTCCGGTCAAGGGCATGTACCTTGGTTGCGGGCACATCCCCAGTGGGGAGTGTGCAGGAGGCAGCTGGTTGATGATACTCTCTCATCAATGTTTCTAACTCTCTATTTCTCTCTCTTCCTTTCTGTAAAAAATCAATAAAATATATTAAAAAAAAACCTTTCAAAATATCTGTATAATATATGACCAAATATATAATTGTAGCATGTGATCTGCTTTGAGTACAATTATAGAAAGAGTAGTAGTAATGAAGAGCATTTGAGAAAACTGAACAAATAAGAGAAGGGGTGAGTCATTACCATGAGTAAGCAGAATAAGACTTGTATAATGTATCCTACATCTCTAGTTGTTTCATTGAGTTGCTGACTTACAAATGGGACATCTGAGGTACTGACTCATAAACTAACCAAGCCTTGCCTGGAATTTAGCATGATCCTGTTAAGCAGGTTTTGATTTCTAAAGGTATTTGTCTTATCAAGATAAATCTTCATATATTTATTATAAAACAACATAAATCTTTATATATTTATTATAAGATAGCATAATCCTTTTTATCAGACTATAAAATAATACATGCTTATTGTAGACAAGTTCACAAAAATAAAAAAGGAAGTAAACATCACATTTCACCATAATCACTGTTAATATATAGACTATAACACCATATATTTTGTATACAGTTGAGATCATTATGTATAGATATTTATCCATTCTGTTTCCTCTTAATATTATAAGCATTCTCTTATGTTATTAAAAGGTCTTTATACACTTAATTTTTAATATTAATTATGTTTCTAATATTCCATTGCATAGACCTGCCATAATTTATATAATGGAGTATTTTCTATTTATTAGACATTAAATTATTCCCAGTTACTTTTTATTTTTAATTATATTTCAGTGGATATCTTTTTATTTTACTTTAGTAGGTTTTATATTTCTAAAGGGTTTTTATCAGTACCACAAAATCTGAGGTAGAAGCGGTGTGTGTGTGTGTGTGTGTGTGTGTGTTGAAAAGTCTGAAAGAATTCATACTAAAATGTTAATGTTGCTAATCTCCAGGTTGTGAGATTATAGATAATTGTTTTGTCACTCTTTTATATTTTTTCATCTTATTTGCTGGAAACCCATATTACTTGTGTAATTTCAAACTGCCAAGATTTAACTAAGTAAATATTTCAAGTTTATTACAATAGTTGTAAAAATTGGAATATTTTTCTAAAAGTTGTATAATACTTGAAAATGTGCTCCTAAACTTAATTTCCAGCTCTGGTTGCACACATAAAATAAGTGGTCAGTGTCATTAGCATTCTCCCTGGACATAAGGCCTGATCTGCCCCAGATAAACAGCCTAAAGTCTATTTTTATCCTGGTGCTGGTTATACTTAAGAATCATTCTTTGGCTTGTGATTTTACAACAGTGGGCTTTTTAGGGATCCTCTAAATTTGGTTCTGAAGGAAAATTTGCACTAAAAGTTGAATAATTTTTGAGAAACTCAAACTAGAAAGAAAATGAGTTTTGTTTGGATTGGTGAAAGCATAAGTTCTGTAGTTGTAAATTTTGTTATTTTCTTCAGGTTCATCGCATCTCTGTCTGTTGGAGAAGGCCCAAGTGTCAGAGCATCAGTCAGAACAGCAGCAGATGATACGAAACCTAAAACCACATGTGCATCTAAGGACAGTTGGCATGGGTAAGAGCTGCCTCTTACAAATGATTTTTAACTCAATACCTTAAAATATTACTGGAATTTTCCCACCATGTATCCAGAAATGAGTATGTATGATACAGAACCCAAGACTCAATGTTTAGAGAAGATCCATTCTTCCCAATTATGGATGTGCTGAGATTTGCTGTATATTCTGGTGCATAGTCAATTTTTATAAACTTAGTTTCCAGCTTTATGTTTGTTTGAGAATGAGTTTTCTCTAATCATTCTTGAGTTCCATTTATGTCCATTAAACTAAGCTTTTAATAATTATTTAAAATAGTGTTATTTGAATTTTTAAGATAATTTTTTTATCAGCTTGACCTATCAATTATTGAGAAGTAAGTTGAAATCTCCTTAATAGGAATCCATTTGTCTGGTTTCCCCTTAAACTCTATATTTTTGCTTTATGTATTTTGAGGCTATTTTGTAGGTTCATACGGCCTATATTAATTACAGTTTAGAAATGTTTTCTTTGTGGTGAATTGGGACATTCTTAATCCCTCATGATGGTTTTTGTCTTAAATTCTATTTTGTCTAGAGTTAATATAGCTAATATAGTTGTCTTTTAGTTAGTATTTGCCTAGTGTATCTTTTTCTAGTATTTTCAATCATTCTGTGTTTTAAAATTTTAGGTGTGTCTCAAATACATCTGACTTGTTTTATTTATCTGATAATTTATAACTGCTTAAACTCATTTACATAGATTTTACTTTATGCTATCAGTTGTCTTCCCTTCTCCCCCCTTTTCTCATCTTTAAAAAATTGTTTGAAATGGGTTTGTTTTGCTCCCTACTATTTTTCCTTCTATTGGTTTGGAGATTATATACTTTGTTTCTATTATTCTAGTAGTTAGCCTTGAAATTTTACTATACATGCTTAACAAAGACAAAAGTTAATATTTTAACCATTTTTCTTAAAACCCATTTACTCTGATCTGACTTCCATGGTCTAGTTGCCTAATATTTTAGTTCTGTCACTTTTTAGACTTACAAATTAGGTTTTATTTAACTTCATTATTATTTAAATAGACAGTATTTACTTAGACTTATCTCATTTATACTTTGTTTGCTCTTACCATTCTTGCATCTCACACCTTCTATAGGATCACCTTTTTTCTTCTTAAAGTATTTCTCTGAGGTTCCTTTAGTGAAGGTATTATTGGCAAATAGGACCTCTGTGTTATAGAACTCCATATAGAATAAATTTAATGGTGCCTCTGGAGTTATATAACATCACGTTCTATTGGTAAATATATTTTGCTTTGATTTATCTGAAAATGGCTTTATTTAATTCTTGTACTTTGAAGATATATACCTGATATGTACTGAGTTGATATATACCTGAAATCATAGTTCTAGATAGTTATTTCTCTTAGTACTTGTCTTCTGGCTTCCATGTTGACATTGAAAAGCCTTCTTTTCATCTAATTCAGTGGTTCGCCTAAGTCCATCGGAAAACACAGATATTTACATTACGATTCATTAACAGTAGCAAAGTTATAGTAATGACAGTAGCAAGGAAAATAATGTTATGGTTGGGGGTTACCACAACATGAGGAACATAAAGGGTCTCGGCATTAGAAAGGTTGATAACCACTGATCTAATTGTCTTTTTGGAAATTATCTGTCTAGTCTCAAGCAGCTCTTACCCAGTTCCTGTTGGGTTTGGTATTCTATAGTTTGCTCTAGTGTATCTATCATTTGCTTCAGTGTGCTTTCTATATCTCTAGATTCTCTTTCGTCAATTTAAAAAAATTTACCAGCTGTTATCTCTTTAAAAACCATTCTCTTTCCTTCTCTGTAGTCTTTTAGAGACACCAGATTTCTTAGACTTACATCTCTTAACTTACTTTTTTCCAACTCTCCATGTCTCTGTATTGCCTTCTTGGTCAGGGGTCAGCAAACATTTTATTTATTTATTTATTTATTTATTTAATTTTGGTAAAGGGCCAAACAGTAAATATTTTAAGTTTTGGTAGGCGAGAGGTGAGATCTGAGCATATTATGTAGGTACTTAACATTAGGGAGAAAACTCCTGCCCTACCTGCCTGATCTCGGCTATCTTGCCTGGTGGACACACTTTGTGTTCTGCTGCTGAGAGTCTTAGGATGAAATGACTAGACTTCTGGGATGGCTGGGTTGGTGGCAATGCCAGGGTCAGTTTTACTTTCTGCCCTAGTGGTACTCAGATTCTAGTATGTCTTTCTCTCTTCCATAGAGAGCCTGGCATAGGCCAGACACTCAAACTGAGATTCTGCTTCTCATTGCCCAGTGATTGCCGACAGCAGAGCCCCAACATGTTAATAGTAGCAGCATGGACCCTAAGCAGAGGTGTGGCATGTCTGATGTCTTTTGGCCAGGAAGGCAGGCTCAGGGAGTGATGGGGAGAATGGGCACAGGGGGACACCTCAGCCTGGTCTCTGTAGCTCTCAGTGCTGGCCCACGGGCTATAATTTGCTGACCCCTGTTATACATAATTTTATATATCTTATAGTTTAGTATTTCTTTCCCTAACTGTGTGCTTAGTCCATCTGTTTAGTTTATTTTCAAATATAAAGTTTATTCCTCAAAATTCTATTTGGTTCTGTTTTCATACTTGCTTGGCAGTTTTGTCTCCTTTTTGCTTTGCTCAGTTCTTTTGTTTATTAAGTATTTTTTAAAAAGTTATGTACTTTATCTGATATGTTCCAGTATCTGAAAACTTCAGGAGTCTAAATCTGTAAGCTGTTAATTATTGATAGAAACGAACCCTAAACCTGCTGCTCTGTTTAGAGATCTGGCATAATGGCCATTTGTAGCATTAACCTCACATTGATACTGAAGCTGCTGAATTCAGGGCATAGAAACATTTAGTTTTTACACCTTACAGTGGTCTATGCAGGATGCTTCTCCAAACCCGTTGGGTCACAGGTTCCTGAGCCAAGGGTTGGGACAGGGTGGGTGTTCTGCACTAAGTGTTTGGCTCAAGAGATGCAGGTAAAAACTACCCTTTACCTCTCGTTTTTATAGCTGGCTAATACGGAGATGTTAACGTTTTGGAGACATAAGGGGAGGCGGGCATATCCCTTTGGGAGAAACTTATGACCACTTAGACTCATACGTCTGAGAGGGGGCAGGTTTCAAACTGTCTAAAGAATTTGTATAGGAGAGCTCTGTATCCCAACATCTTGTATATTTTTTTCCTCTTAGCTCTACACGGAAATCTTCACGAGGAGCAATGCGAACCCAACGTCGTCGACGGTCTAAGTCTCCTGTCCTTCATCCCCCAAAGTTTATACATTGCAGTACAATAGCATCTTCTTCCAGCAGCCAGCTCAAGCACAAAGGCCAGATGGACTCTCCTGATGGAAGCAGTGGGCTGGCAATTCCAACCCCTAAAGACTTCAATGCAGGAGAATGCTCTACTTCTCTTGATACTAATCACACAGGGGCAGTTGTTGAGCCTTTGAGAACTTCGGTTCCAAGGCTGCCATCAGAGAATACGAAGGAAGACTCTTCTGATGCTACCCAAGTCTCACAAGCAAGTCTCAAGGCCAATGATCTCGCTGACTTTCAATCCGTTTCCAAGCTTAACCATGGCCAGCCATGTGCATGCCTAGGCAAGGAGTGCCAGTGTAAGAGGTGGCATGATATGGAGGTGTATTCCTTTTCAGGCTTGCAGAATGTCCCTCCCTTGGCCCCAGAACGAAGATCTACGCTTGAGGACTACTCTCAGTCGCTTCACACTAGAACTCTGTCTGGCTCCCCACGCTCCTGCTCTGAACAAGCTCGAGTCTATGTGGATGATGTGACCATTGAGGACCTGTCAGGCTACATGGAATATTACTTGTATATTCCCAAGAAAATGTCCCACATGGCAGAAATGATGTACACCTGATAGCAAGAGCCGACTAGTATGCTTTAAACCAATGAAGGGCTGTCAGAGAGATGTAGTTCATGGCAGACCTGGCAGCCACTTTGTGTGAGAAGACACCTCCTGCTCACTGTGCTTGCAATAAAAACTTTACTTGGCATCTCAGTTCATCTTCATTCTTTAAACTTACTCTCTGAGTTATCACATATCTACAGACTGATCAAAGAAAAAGCCCTTTCACTTAGTTATGTTCCTGGGGGATGAAGAAACTACAATTACATGACTGGTAGCAGTGGGTATATGGTAAAAGCTTTTTTTCAAATCTGTGAAAGATTTTGTGGCCAAGGAAATGAAATGTGGTCTTGTAATTGGACTGAACATTTGTTATGCAGTAGTTGCCAGCTCAGAATATTAGAACTTCTGTGACTGATTTAAGCCATCTCTGATTTAATGCAAAATTTATTGTCTTTACAGGTTTCTTAATATTAAGCCAGAGATCCAGAGTTTAGATTTAATATGAATAAACTAGCTGGCTTGCCCTGTGTTGTTTGAGAGAATCATTAGCCATCACTAAGCAAACCCTGCTGGTGGTGGTCATCTTGAGGCATACTACAATACGTCTCTAATGGAAGCAGCAGCTTGGAGTGGGCTGCTTCAGTTGGAGCGAGGGGATGTGATATTTGAAACTAGTATGTCTTCTCTATCTCTCACATTTTAATGTATATGGCATGTTTCAGTCACTTGAAATGTAGATCTCATAGTATTTCAGTTTCAAATGTTTTGGATGGATGTTATCTCTCTGCTTTGCCTTCCTACCCCAGGAACCTCGTAAGAGAATTTTATACATGTGTATCCTATGTTTCTGGCCAATCATCCCAAAATGCCTTTTAAAGGTTGCTATAAAAAAAAAAAAAAAAAATCTGACCTCAATTTCAGCTGGAGGATGAATCCCTATCTTTTTCATGTAGTTCCAAAGTGAATTTTACATATGCCACCTAACTTTTAATTCAGACCATCCTAAGCATGCCTATTGAATATAGTGAAAATATATCTAGCCATTTTAACACCATGTTAACAAAAAGTTTGTTTTATGTAGATTACAAAGTAAGATTTACTCTTTACTAAGACATCCCACTGCAGGATTGATTCATGACAGTGGAGTCTGGGCTTACAAATATGTGGACTTCTAGTGGGGAGAGTATTCATTGGAAAAGCCCTGCACGTAAGTAGTGAGAGACCCCAGGCCACTAGTTACTAGTTTTGTGTGGATTGAGTAGTATCTGAAGGCTATGGACCAAGCAAGGCAGCAGAATGCCTCCATCACAGCACTAGAGACTAACAAATACTGGACTCATAACGCTAACAAAAGGTGCAATATTTATACAGCTGAGGTAGCAGTTCTGGAACTCTCAGGTCTCAAGATTCTTGTGCTTACACATTGAGTATCCCAAATAACTTTTACTTATATGGGTTATGTTTTTCATTATTTACCATATTAGAAACTATAAGAAATTTTAAATATATATTATAACCGGTGAGCAGAAGGTGATCTGTGGTTGGGGGTTTAAGCAATTAACACAACTTCCAGAGATTGGGAAGTCCACCCTCTGTGTGAGGAGCAATGCAGCCTGGCCAGTGTGTCTCATTGGTCAAATGATCAAGGGGGCGGGGCTTCTGGAAGGGGCGGGCCCAGGTGAACAGCTGGAAGTGGTCATGTCAACAGGGGGAGGGGCCAGGTGAAATGCTGAAAGTGGTGATGTAAATGAGGAAGTGGAGCCATTTAATCAGCTGGCAGTGTGACTTAAATAGGAGAAGGGGGGGTGGGTAGGGACAGATAAACAGCCAGAAGCAATGATATAAACCACATGTGTCAAACACAAGGCCCGCGGGCCAAATCCGTCCCGCCAGGCCTTGCAATGTGGTCCGCACCGCGCTGTCATCACTGCACTCCGCTGCGTTTCCATCACAATGACAGTTTATGATTGTTCAGTAAACCATTCGGCCCGTGATTTAGGCTGGATTTTAGATTTTGGCCCCTTCTCTGATTGAGTTCGACACCCCTAATATAAACAATGGGGTCAGGCTATGTTGTCAGCTGGAAGTGGTCAGGTGAAGAATGGGTTGGAGCCAGGTCAACAGATGGAAATGGTCAAGTGGATAAGGCCATGCATCCCCAGGAATGAGAAAGGTCACCTGTGGATGCAAATGCCCCACCTTCCTGTGTGCCAGACTGGGTTCCAGCAAGAAGGTCCTTGTCCTCGAGGAAGTGTGTTTCCCATGAATGAGGGAAAAAGCTGGCCCTCAGTGTCTGGTGACCAGTAACTAACTCTGGAGGGGGCAGGACAGTGCTCCCAGAATGGAAAGTGTTTCCAGGGACTTAATACAGCTCTCTGTGCACTTTCAAAGCCCATAGACAGGGCTCTGAGGGCCAAAGGACACTCCATTGTGAGAGACCTGATGGTGGGGATGATGGGCAGTCCCTAGGCTCATGGAGTCCATGGCTGTCTTAAAGGGAAGCTGGTGTCCCCTGCTTGTGGACCTCACTCCTGGTTAGGAAGCAACCTGTGAGCAAAAGGTTATCTGCTTTTGGGGGTTTTAGTCACTTAACACAATTTCCAGAGATTGGGAAGTCCATCCCTCTATGTAAGGAGCAATGCAGCCTGGCCAGTGCGTCTCATTGGTCAAATGATCAAGGGGGCGGGGCTTCTGGAAGGAAGAGGCGGGCCCAGGTGAACAGCTGGAAGTGGTCATGTCAATAAGGGAGGGGCCAGGTGAAATGCTGAAAGTGGTGATGTAAATGAGGAGGTGGAGCCATTTGAACAGCTGACAGTGTGACTTAAACAGGAGAACTGCGTGTGGGTAGGAACAGGTGAACAGCCAGAAGCAGTGACATAAACAAGGGGGTGGGGCCTTGTGATCAACTGAAAGTGGTCAGGTGCACTGGGCCCCTAGTCTATACTAATAAGAGAGGACTATGCAAGTTGTTTGGGACACTGTCACAGTAATAGTAACAACCAAACAGCAGGCTGCATTGGGTGACCAGGCCAGAAGTGGGGGGGGCAGTTGGGGGCAACCAGGCCGGTGGGTGGGGGTAGTAAAGGTGACTGAGAAGGGTCAGTTGGGGGAGACCAGGCTTGAGGGGAGGGTGAGGCAGTTAGGGGTGACCAGGCAGGCTGACAGAGGTGGGCAGTTGGGGGAGACCAGGCTTGCAGGGGTGGGCAATAAGTGACCAGGCCGGCAGGGGGTGGGCAGTTGGAGGTGATTAGGCTGGCAGGCAGAGGGAGTTAGGTGTGATCAGGTTGGCAGAGAGGCAGTTAGGGCGATCAGTCAGACATGCAGGAGGGCAGTTAGGAGCCAGCAGTCCTGGATTGTGAGAGCTATGTCTAACTGCTAGACTGGCAGTTAGACATCTGAGGGGTTCCTGCGTTGGAGAGGGTGCAGGCTGGACTGAAGAGATTTTTTCCCCTCCCATGCATGAATTTCATGCACCGGACCTCTAGTATTATATAAAATGTTAAAGGGACCTCTTTAAGTAGGAGTAGAAAAATAAACACCCCAAAATATGAACAATAAAATGGCAATAAATACAAATCTATCAACAATTGAGTCTACGAAACAAAATAAATGAAGAAGCAGAACAGAAACATACTCATAGATACAGAGAATATTTTGACAGTTGCCAGATGGAAGATGGCTGAGTGGTGGGTGAGAAAGGTGAAGGGATTAAGAAGTACAAATCTGTAGTAATAGAATTACCATGGGGATGTGAGGTACAGCACAGGGAAATAACTATCCTAATGACTACGGTGTCAGATGGGTGGAGATTGATCGGGTGATCACTTAGTAAGTTACGTAACGTCTCATCACTGGTGGGTACACCTGAAACTAATATTATAATGTATGTTGGTTGTCATTGAAAATTTAAAAAATGATTTTAGAAAACACCACATCTATGTAACAGCCACAAGGTGGCAGCTTAGAACTATGACACAGGAATGGATCATTCAAAGACCACACTACGGGGACCATGAGCAGAGTGGAGGAGGGAGAGCAGGTAACATGTGGCTCACCTCTGTGGCTCTCAGATGCATCACAGACTGCAGGCACTTCCTGAGGCTAATATCACTTTTGTTTGGTTTTCACCTGATGTATGCGCTTTAGAACCTAAACCTCTTAGTAAATACAACTCAACTCTGCTTGTAAAAATGTACATATGTCATGTTTAAAAAATATATTCTTGCCATAGCCGGTTAGGCTCAGTGGATATAGTGTAGGCCTGTGGACTGAAGGGTCCCGGGTTCGATTCTGGTCAAGGACACATGCCCAGATTGCAGGCTCAATCCCCAGTAGGGGGCATGCAGGAGGTAGCCAGTCAATGATTCTCTCTCATCACTGAGGTTTCTATCTCTCTTTCCCTCTCCATTCCTCTCTGAAATCAAGAAAAATACATTAAAATATATATATTTTCTTATTGATTTTTTACAGAGAGAAAGGGAGATGGGTGGAAAGTTAGAAACAGCAATCAGCTGCCTTCTGCACATCTACTAGGGATCGAGCTCACATCCAAGGTACATGCCCTTGACCAGAATTGAACCTGGGACCTTTCAGTCTGAGGCCTGATGCCACTGAGCCAAACCAGTTAGGGATGTACATATGTAGTTTTTTAATGTTATATATATAACATGTATTTTATATCTTGTAAAAATATGTAACATACTAGAGGCTCAGTGCATAAAAATTCATGCCTTGGAGGGGAGGTCCCTCAACCCGGCCTGGCCCTTCTCACAGTCCGGGAGCCCTCAGGGGTGGGAGGCAATCCAGTGATCAGGGGAAGGCAACACCCCCATCACACCTCTGCTGCTGCCATTGCCAGCGGCACAAGCCTCAGCAGGCCCTGGTTACCTGAGCCTAGGGTGGCTTTGGGTGGCTGGGCAGCCACCATCCAAGACTTGCCTGTGCCTTGGGCATTGGCTGGGCAACCACTATTTGAGGCTTGTCTGCACTTCGGGCTGGCTCTGAGTGGCTGGGCAGCTGAGGGCAGGTCCAGCTGCACAGTGCACCTGCCACCCCCCCTGGCTGGGCTGAAAAGACTGGGGACTCTGGCATGGCTGAGGGGACATCTTGTGGCTAGGGGCGCTGCCATGTTTGTCCTGGTGTGAT